AATATAGAAAATATTTAAAAAGTGAGGTTAATTTTTACCTTAATATATGATCTGTAACGATAGAAAGGTCATAGAAGTATAATGCCATAAACTTTTTAGGTAATTCATTTTCACGTAATATTTAAGGGATTTTTATTCCAATGCACCAGATAAATACAAATTATACGTCTTCCCGACACCCAAAGATCCTCTCTTTATCATTAATAACATACTCTGCTAGTAATTCGAACCATTTAATTGAATCTTTCAACTTTTTTTTTTGCTTCATAATCTCAAATTTTATTTATCTAGTGTTGATTATAGACTTCATTCATGATAATAATATATGACAAATATATTTTGGTGCAAATCTAAAACCACTCCCATATTAAAAAAGAAAATGCATCTATGTCCTACAAAATAATAAATCATATTATATTGCTAATGAATATGATATCACTATAATCATTTGATACTAGCATTATGCTTGTTGCCTTGCTATCTAACAAAGTAGTTGGTGTATTTAGTTGTTGAAATAATGTCATGCATGTTACTTCTTTGCACTATATTTTTCCTTTCTTTTGAGTTATTTATAATCTCTGATGCAATATTTAAAGCAAGATAACTATTTTTTATCAATATGGGTGAAGAGGATCAATGATATATGCATCCAATAATATATTCCTCTTATTTGATGGATTTGTGAAATCTTTAGCTAAATAATTCTTATTTTACTCAAGCTTCCTCTTAAATTAAACCATTTTTACAACATGTTTACAATATCAACACTTTGTATATCCTCTTTATTTATAATCTAAGCTCTTTATACGTCCTCTTTTTTTTTATAATTCCAATAGATAGAGCTATATGTCAATTATCAGTTAACAACATTCTCATTAACTTTTGTATTATTGCTTGATATAGTATCATAGCTCACCTGGATGACAAATTCATTTATTTTATTTATATGCACAAATTCAATCAGAGCGTCCACATTATGCTCAATTTCAATTTGATTATTCTTGAATTATCTAATTACCACAAACATTTATAGATGTTTGGAGGAGGACATGAACTCATATTGATCCTTTTCTTTATGCACCTCTTGTGTTTACTTAGATTGATCACCACACCCTCTAACAAAACAAGTGGTGGTCTTTCTCTTCATCAAAATCTTAATTAGGAGAGGCTAATAAGGAGTATATCTAATTAACTTGTAGAAGTCTTTCACATCTCCTTTGTCCGCTTAGGATCAACTATCACCTACTTAAAAAGAATACAATGTAACATTCGAAATTAGTTCATGGTATTAATTAATATAAATTAACATTTAAAATAAATAATGAGCATATGATTTGAATCATTATTGGTGGGAAATGACAAAAATTTTTACTTTTGAGTACTTCATTACTTTTTGGCTTAGTATTCTAGGAGATTTATCTCCAAGAAATTTCGCACATGTTCTCCCTATCTTTTGGATAGTTTCATAAGCTCAATGTTGCAATGGTGTGGCAAATCCATAAACAATATGCAAGATCGGGATTTTCTTTCCTATCATCCTCTCAACCTTTAGGGCATTTATCTCAATATAGATCATAGCCTTGACCAGCCTCTTAAGTGTTCTCTCTCCTAAAATTATTCCCCATGAAAAATTTCCCAACTCCATCAAACTTTGTTAGCATCTCAATAATGCAACACTACTTCTCTATTGATTTAGGAGTAGTCCACCAACAACATAACACAAATCTAATTATAAAAGAGAAAAACTCAAATGATTTCTTGACTATTTATGAAAGAGTAAAATATTTCCAATTATATTAAAGAATCATTTTGAATTTTTGATCCCTTGAGTTTTTAGAAATGAATCAAAATAGTCCAATAATGAGACCAATTTGATTCCTCTATATAAAGTTTGAGGTGGGTGGGGGGGACCAAAATGAACATTTAATATAGTTGGTGATTATTTTGATCTTTCATTTTGATCATTTTCTCAATTAAAATATCTTCTCTAATCAAACTATTTTCAAATCTTTTTCTCAATAGAAAATTCATCAAACCTCAGCTTGAAATTTCAAAATTTATCTTCTCACATCTAAATTGAGAACAATAGAGTTGTAATAGTTTGTATTTTGGCTCTAGTGAGGACCAATATGTGGTTACAGTAGAATTTTGATGTCTTGTCAACCTTTGTATAGAACAACCTTATTCGCTCATCGCCACTTAATTGCTATCAAGGCCTATTACCATTCTGATCACTATAATTCACTATTGCTCACCAAACTCATCGTAACAATTTATCGTCCATCGCCTCTTCAGTATATATATAGTTACAGAAGGTGGGATTATATTATAATGCTTTAGGCTACATAAGCTATTTACCTAATGTTTGTGTTGGGCACTTATTTGTCCTTGCCCTCCCTTATTTTTTTTGGTGAAAGAACATCCTTTTGTGTGTAAACAACTAAAACTCTTCTAATAATATAGAAAATATTTAAAAAGTGAGGTTAATTTTTACCCTAATATATGATCTGTAACGATAGAAAGGTCGTAGAAGTATAATGCCATAAACTTTTTAGGTAATTCATTTTCACGTAATATATTTAAGGGATTTTTATTCCAATGCACCAGATAAATACAAATTATACGTCTTCCCAACACCCAAAGATCCACGCTTTATCATTAATAATACACTTTACTAGTAACTCGAACCACTTAATTGAATCTTTCACCTTTTTTTTGGCTTCATAATCTCAAAATTTATTTATCTAGTGTTGATTATAGACTTCATTCATGATAATAATATATGACAAATATATTTTGGGCAAATCTAGAACCACTCCCATATTAAAAAAGAAAATGCATCTATGTCCTACAAAATAATAAATCATATTATATTGCTAAGGAATATGATATCACTATAATCATTTGATACTAGCATTATGCTTGTTGCCTTGCTATCTAACAAAGTAGTTGGTGTATTTAGTTGTTGAAATAATGTCATGCATGTTACTTCTTTGCACTATATTTTTCCTTTCTTTTGAGTTATTTATAATCTCTGATGCAAGATAACTATTTTTTATCAATATGGGTGAAGAGGATCAATGATATATGCATCCAATAATATATACCTCTTATTTGATGGATTTGTGAAATCTTTAGCTAAATAATTCTTATTTTACTCAAGTTTCCTCTTAAATTAAACCATTTTTACAACATGTTTACAATATCAATACTTTGTATATCCTCTTTATTTATATTCTAAGCTCTTTATACGTCCTCTTTTTTTATAATCTCAATAGATAGAGCGATATGTCAATTATCAGTTAACAACATTCTCATTAATTTTTGTATGATTGCTTGATATAGTATCATAGCTTATCTGGACGATAAATTCTTTTATTTTATTTATACAATGATTGAGAGTTATAATAAGTTATTATTGTACCGACGGACAAAGAGTGACGACTCTATTTAATGAGCCAACGATTTACTAATACAAACACGATGCTAAAAAAGACCTATTAAGCCAATATTTCTTACTTGTTTAGTGCGACTACATAAATACATGTTATTGAGATATTATTTTTGTTACCATATGAATTTATTGTTAGTGTATTATTTTACTTATCCTGACAATAATTTTATTGTTACCAATATGGACACCGATACTATTTGATACTATTGATTCACTGTATTGATACTGCGTATGTGACATGTGTTGCATATGATATACTGAGCATGTGATTAAAAAATTGTTTTGATATTGATATATAATAATTGGATAGCATGTGTCTATCAATATAGGATTTCACGACATTGATATGATTTCGACAGTCTTTATCGATGCTTTGCTTTTACCTCTTTATATAATTTTTTTACTGATTAATAATCCTGATACGACGAATACTTTATCGATTCGACATTAATATTGGTTTACTTGTTTCCCCTATACTATTTTACTGACTTATGTATCGTACTATTTTACAGTTTACAGATTCTATTGATGTTGCAAGTGAGTTTTATTATTTATGCATTGATTCTTGATCATATGACTATTAATATTATGAATTCACTAACAGCATGCATACTATTTCTTTGTCGTGTTTTGAATTTAATTATAAGATTTTAGTGATATGTTGGACTATTTAACTTATTATATGTGGTTTAAATGACTTCCAGTCAGAGAAGTGAGTCAAGAACGTAAGACTGATTAGAATTCCTCAGGTTCTGTTTCGTTTTATTTCAGTTATTCTTTTGTATTCATGAATTGAAGGATATGTTGTGATTATATGATTCCTAAATATTACATATAATTTATTTTTGGTCAATGAATATACATGTGTATTGATGTTTTGAATTATAGAAATGAAGTTAGATAATTATGGTGTTGTTAATAAAAGATAAAAAAAAGAATTATTTCAAATTGGATTTTGGAGCGTGATAAGAGTAATCATTATTATGTGTAGTTTTAAAATTCTTCAGGAGAAGTTGATGGTTTATGGCCACATATAACATATTTGAAACAATGAAGACAATTGGAAGAGAATTTGCTTAGCCTTCTTAAATACTTCATTTTCTTCGAACTTATGATTTTCCCTTATCATCCCCAGCTATAAGTCGAATTATTGCATCTGGTCACCTGACAGAGAGATACATTCGAATTATTGCATCTGGTCACCTGACAGAGACATCCGAATGTATCTCTCTGTCAGGTGACCGGACCTAATAATTTGCCTAGCTATAGATGTTACTTTTGCAATTAATATATATATATTATAATTTACTAATACATAGCTGTATGCATACATCAAATGATTTCTCTAACGGACAGCTGTCAGCTACAGGAAGATTTATGATAAAATGATGCCACGTGGATTTATCCATGCGTACTACTAGACTACTAGCAATGCGGTTCGGACTTGAAAATACAGTATTAAAAATAAAATAATCGGCGAAGTGAAGTGACACGTGTTGCTCGTGTTGCATAAAAACTGTTCGCCCTCCTATATATCTCGACACGAATATCGTTTAAGAATCCGATCGTCGATAGGACCGAGCGAGGGAAAGGAATGGCTCCGATAGCAGTTGGAGATACTATTCCCGATGGAACTCTACCTTGGTTTGATGAGAATGATCAGATCCAGCAGCTATCGATTCACACACTCGCCGCTGGCAAGAAGATCGTCCTCATAGGTGTTCCCGGCGCCTTCACCCCCACCTGCAGGTCCTCTTTAACGCTTTTCATTCTAGCTTAAATTTTGTTTGATTTAGTTGTTTTCCGATCATTGGATGGATAGACCGAAGGGGTTTTGTAGATTCTGAAGCTGAAGTAGTATTGTGGTTGGGGGTTAGAGTTGAAGAAGACAGATCTGTGTTAGGAATGAATTTTACTTGACGGATGATGAAGAATCTGACTGATATTGTCGTTTCATCGACGAAATGTTGCTGATCGTTCTTAAAAACTCATCCAGTTTCTTCTGCACTAATTTAAGAGGAGGAAACAGACTGATATGTTTTTGTGTGAATATGCAGCATGCAGCATGTGCCCAGTTTCATCACCAGTGCCGAGGAATTAAAGTCGAAGGGTATCGATGAGATCCTTGTTATTAGCGGTATGTTTTAAACTTAATTTTGCTCTTAGATTAGCTCTGATTTCTTTCTTGTTGAAGATAAAGAGAGCTTAATCGATTTTTCCTCCTAATTGTCTTTCATTGTCCTCGTTAAATTCAAACAAGGTTAGAAGGACAATTACTATGTTAGTTAAGCAACCATGATAGCAAGTTTGCTACTACTTCTCTTATTTATTTATTTATTTGATAAAATAGAAATCAATCAGCCGAAAAAGATATTCAATTCAAGATTAAAAGGGGGTATACATTGTGTGAGGCTTCTCCAATGTACAGAATGTGAGGAGGCATTGATGTACACAAATTTACCCTTACATAGTAGTGATACTTGGAAAATTGGAGTAAATAGACTATCATGATTGATATGTACATAGAAAATTCACATAATCAACACAAATCTTGAGGAAAATAGGTAATATTTGAATGAAAAATTTTCAAAGTTAATTCAAGATCACCCGAACTTTGATTGAAAAAACTTATAGTTGAATTGAATATCTCAATGAGATGAAATCATCGACACAATAAAGATCAGATCTTAGTCAAAAGGAACAAAAATTTAGCACTTGGAAGCATATTTGAAAGCTTTCGAATATTAATTGAAGTATCAAACCATCTTCGAATCTTACATGCTCATAGTCAAAGCAAGCGACTTGATGAGATAATCTAACGAGTCAAAGATCATTAGATTATGACATCATTAAGACACTTAATTGTTGGGTAAATTATCTATGATCAAGGGCTCAATATGAATTGTTCGATGTAGTGTTTTGGATTCTAATCAAATTTGTCAAAATGTCCCTTTAAAAAATGCAATATGTAGGCCTCATTTTCTATATGAGAAGAGTTTGAAGAGCTAAATAACCTTATTATAATTTCTTGCGATCATCTCTGATCACCACCATTAGCTATTGACGTCATTATCACCAAGCTATTTTCGTCTGAATTGTCGCTTAACTTTTAATATTTAACTATGCTATTGGGCTTTAATTATCTGCTTATGGACATTCAATTTATGTAATCTCCCCAATAAGAATTAGATGATTGTTCTCAACTATGTATAATCACATATTCTTCAATTTTGAGGAAGAGATTATTTTTCTATCTTCCATTATATAGTGGATTATTATAATTAGGCTAAGCTTTGTGATTTTTTCCATTATTGGGTTTTTTACATGAAAAATCTTGTTTTCTCACAAATTTTTATTCGTAGGTATTGGAATTTTTGTACAAAGCTAAGATATAAAAATTATAATAATCTACAGTTAAAAATTTTCTGGCTTGTGCCTCATAACAATTTGAAGACATTTGTGGGAAATCATTCCTAACATTATATCAAATATTTTTCTAATGGTTGACGATCAATAACTCAATCTAAGACAGCATAATATAGGCCTTTAAGATAACTCAGGCTACACATTGGAGGTTCATATGGGTAAGATAGAAAAAGAACAAGTTCTAATTCTATAACTCTTGGAGGAGAAGTGCACTATCACAGCATGATGGAGTCGCTGCACCAAAAAATAAATAATAGTTTAGATTTGATCTATTTGATGCCACTATGGAAATATCTATTCATATCGCAACTCCTCTGCGATAGCCTTATCATAGTCTCTTGGACACTACCAGTACAACATATCCTTCCCATGTTATTTGGCTAATCTATTATTCTTCACCAACTATGAAGGAGTTAAATTAACTTCGCCTTATTGGTGCCACTTTTGAGCTTATTAGAGAAGCTACGATGCATTGTTCAAGAGGGATTCCTTTTGAGGGAAAGTAACTATGGGGCAATATCTATGGGAAGCTATTAGTGGATATGATATACTAAAAAGATCCCATGAGGACAAGTGACATACATGATAGCTAGAGAGCTAGTACTGGATTGAGTCTTCACAAGAAATATTCCATAAAAGTGTTTCCATTCATTTAAAAATCTCATAAGGTAAAATCTTTATAAGGTGCATGATCATCTAAAAATCTTAGAAGACATAACCATTAGAAGGTAAATGTATATAAACCTCAGAAGATATAGGTATATCTAAAATTTTAGAAGGCATATGCCTTAGAAGGTATATAATCATTTAAAAGTTTATAAGGTATAAGCCCAAAACATTATAGGTATACTAAAATTCTCAAAGGACTAAAAATCTCAAAATTTATAGATTTCTTCAGTTCTCTAAAAGCCTTTGAATCTATAATTTTGAAAGAAAAAAAAAAAAAATCTCAGAAGAGTATTTAGCCACAAAAGATATAGATTTTCTTAGTTCTCCAAAAACCTCATAAATTATAAGGTTTTTTCTATTCTTAAAAAATTTCAAAAGATGTGAATCTCGAGAGGTCTTAAAAAGTTTAGGTCACTTGGCTCTAATTAGGGAAAATATTTTGAAGATTTCAAGCATATCTCAAATACATATAAATAATTTAGTTTCTTCTGGGATAAATTCTCATAAATCTGAATTATTCTAGCCAAAAATGAAAATATAATTATTTCTATTAAATTGATTGTGAATATTAGTCAAGAAATATACATTTATAAGTTACATATTGAATTATTTGATTTACATATCAAACTTCCCACACCAGTTTCCATTAAGAGTTCTTTCCCTCTTAAAATTTGATACGACGAGACAAATTTTTCAATGGTTTTAGCGCCAACGTTGGTTTTTAGTATCATCATCACCAAATGTCGACATCAAATTGAAAGTCAAACTGCATTTCTTAGAGTATTTTCTTCAACATTTGCATGAGTCGTATCAAATTCTGATAATAATTATCTTCATATTGGGAAAATTTGGAGCTTCAAAATGGATTGAAATTTTTTTGGATCATAATAACTCAAACAAAGGTAATCGAGCCTCTTTAAAGGGGAAGATTGATGCCCCATTGCAAAGATTGAAAATTTTGAGTGTTACTCACAAATTTATCTGGAGGGTGGTTTGATACTCTAATAGAGAAAATATTGGAACAAGAAAGATTTGCACACCATTTATCTATGATAGTATTTTACTGGTATTTGCGAAGTGGGAATTATGCATTTTATGTAGCTGACATTATGAAGACTTTTTTAAGTAGTGAAACCCAAACTACAAAGAGTAAATTGAGAGATACAGATTTCTCCCACAACATCCATAAAAAATAACTCGTTATTCTTAAAGGAGGAGTATTAGAGCCTGTAAGGGGGATACACATTCCTATCTAGAAATAATATTTTATAGGAGCCTATGAAGGGGGGAATTACACACTGCCTATGTAAGACAATAGAATGCCTCAGTTAAGAAAAATAATTGTAGTCTTAATAAGAGGAGAGCATGTTCCCCTCTATGAGGGGGTATTAATATTTGGACTCAATATTAACACTTTCAGTTCCAACAGAGATTTTGGAATTGTAATCAAATTCGAGCCAATTTGAAGGGTTCATAGCAATATTTTTTAATTAATTCTGCTCCAATCGACGTCCGACTTTATAATTAAAAAAATTTAATTGGTATATAGTCTCAAGAGGAGGTTCATGTTGAGTCTAGGGAATGACCACACTTAGTAATTTTTCCCCACAAAATTTAAAAGATTTAACATATATTTCTAGGCAACATAAGCTTAAACACTTGGAAATGAGGGGCAAATGATGTCTCTAAAAAATTTACATGATCAGCACAATCTTGAGGCAATATTTTAAATGAAAATTTTTGGAATTAAATTCAGAAGCCCTAATTTTAATTTCAACAAATTTATAGTCAAATTGAACATCTCAATACAATAAACTCATTGACACCACAAATGATCAAATTTGAATCAAAATGAACCAAAATCAACTATGTTTAAATTTATTTGAAAACTTCTAAAGTCTGAACATTAATTGTAGGACCAATTGGTCTTTAAATTTTGCATGCTTGTAGTCAAATGAAGTAGTGAGATAAGATGAATGTAACAAGCACAATGTGACAATGCCTTTTGATTATGTCATCATTAAGGCAGTCGATTGTTGGATAAATGATCTATGATCGAAGGGAGATTAGTATAGATCAAATTTATCTAATTGTCTCTCTTAAAAAGCTAGCAATAAGGCCTAATTTTTTTCGTAGGAGAGGAGGTTATACAACTAAGAGATCTAAGGAACTTTATTGAATTTTCTGGTGATAATTGTCAACGACCACTATTAGCAAGCACCGCCACCATCACTAGGCTTATCGCTTGACTATTAAGTATTAAAGTCTTAAGCTGCTGTTCGGCTTTAACTATCAACTTATCGACATTCGATTTTTATAATCCCTATAATGAAAAACTGATAATTATTCGCAACTCTGTATCATCATATGTTCAATTTTGAGGAAGTGACGTTTTTAGTTTCTCCTAGTTGATTATTGCAATTGTGCTAGACCCTATGATTTTTTTCATTTTTATATTTTTCGCGTCGACATTCGATTTTTATAATCCCTATAATGAAAAACTGATAATTATTCGCAACTCTGTATCATCATATGTTCAATTTTAAGGAAGTGACGTTTTTAGTTTCTCCTAGTTGATTATTGCAATTGTGCCCTATGATTTTTTTCATTTTTATATTTTTCGCGTATAAATTCTAGTCTCTCACAATTTTTATTTGTTCTTGTTCGATTTTCTACAAAGCTAAGCTATAAAACACAATCTATTGCCGATAATTTTATAGCATGTACTAATGGCAATAATTTAACTAAAATGATTTAAGATATTTTTTTAAATTATTTATTTTAGGTAACATAAAAAAATTGGATATGTTCTGCCATGTAAACTTACAAACCCAATCACATCTCTATGTTCATCGCTTTCTAGCTTTAGTGTTAAGTGGTGAGAATTATCTGAGTCTGTCGTTGTTTGAACCCAAATTATGGCCATCTTATTATTTATCCTCTTTATTTCATGAATGGTGTTGGGAAATTGGCAATACATGTAATACACATAACGAGAGTGAAAACATAGACAAGAAAAACAACTCACAAAAACATAATAAATTTATTTAAGTTCATCAAATTGATAGCTACATCCTATGGCTATCATTGCATACTTTTATTATAAAATAATTGTAAATATTGGATATCTTTTGTAGGCTCCATTCCACAACCCTCTAGAGGGGTAAATTATTAGGTCCGGACACCGGACCTAGAAATAGGTCCGGATATCCAATAAAAATTTGCCACGTGGATTGTGCTTTTGACTGCGCTTTACCTGTGCTTTTGGCTCGCTTGACTTAAAATTTCGCGGACACGTGTACATTCTACGTGTCAAATTTTTAGTGGATGTTCGGACGTATCTCTACATCCGGTGTCCAGACCTGATAATTTTCCCTCAAGAGGAGAAATTATTCTGTGCGGAGACCGGACTCAGAATACCATCTGGAGACCAACCAGAATGTGTCATATTAGCGGTACCGAGCACAGGGGTGATGCGACACATTCTGGTTGGTCTCAAGACGACATTCGACATATGCATCTGCACGAAATAATTAATCCCTCAAAGCTCGGATGCTTTTCTCTCTACCATTTTGAAGCTATTTATAAAGAAAAACTCGAAACTACTAATCCTGAAACAAATCTTCAATCCTTGAGCCAGTCAATGATCCGTTTGTGCTGAAGGCCTGGGCAAAGACTTACACGGATAACAAGCACGTGAAGTTCCTCGCCGATGGCTCTGCAAACTACACAAAGGCCCTCGGCCTGGAGCTGGATCTGAGCGAGAGAGGGCTCGGACTGCGCTCTCGCAGGTACGCAATCCTGGTGGAAGATCTCAAGGTGAAGGTGGCCAACATTGAGGAGGGTGGGGCTTTCACCGTCTCCGGTGCCCATGAGATCCTCAAGTCTCTGTGATGATAAAACTGCTGCTCTTTTTGAGAGTAAGAACGTGGTGGTGTGCGTTTTTCTATTCCGTCCGTCTGAATAAAAGTGCTTTCTAGTTTGTCTGTTTGTTTTGTCAAGTGTTTCTGGGTTGTGGTTAGGAGGGAGAACGCAGTTATAAAATTTAGTTCTTCAGTGTTTATTGGTAGAAATTTTGGTTTTTATTCTTTTTTAGTACAAATAATTACAGGAATAAAATATATATATAAAGTTACTTTAAAATTAATGAATGTTATTTTAATTTATTGAAACAAAACCTATATTTAGCCAAAGATTTAATAGTAAAGCATTTTCAAACCTGGGAACAAGATTACCCTAAGCTTTCCTGAATGGGAAGAACTTGTTGAGAACCCCTCTATTCCTTAGGCCTAATTTTATTGGATGTATTTTGTTCTTTTTCCTTTTTAAAGCGGTAAATTTATTTCTTCTTTGTTGTTTGATTCCCCAAATCACGTTTTCAATAACATCATTTTTTTTATCATTTTTCTGTTGTTTTAAGAAAGTTTTTTATATATGCTTTTCTGTTAGAAAATTCATTTTTCTAAACTTATGTTTCTTAAAACTATTTTTTACAAAAGTATCAGATAACCAAACGAAATCTTAGTTGCTGCATTATATGAAAAATGAAATTGAGGGTAAAATTCTCAGAATTTTTATTTTCCATCACATTAGTTTCTGATGGTTACAATGTTAGGCCTCAGACTATTCTTGGTCATATACCTAAATGTTTTATATCATTATTATTTGGATAAGTTGCTTTCCATTTGTCATGAATTTCTTTTCCTAATTCTCCAGGTAATTTGATTAAAAATCTATCTGATGTTTCTTGATCAAAGTATCTTCCAGCTTTACTTGCATAAGAAACATACAAGTTACAGAAACTATCAATGTTTGATCAATTATCAATACTTAATTGTTCTAAATTTCGGTATGCTTGATCTTGCATATTTGTATTCTGTCTACTTGGGTCAAATTCTAATATTAATGTTCTAATAAATTTTGTAAAATTATATGGATTATCTCCCAATTGTCTCAAAGTTTCTATTTCTCCTGCTTTTTTATTTTTGCTTCATTGTAAATATTTGCTGCAGTTTCACCTAACAAAGTTTCTAAAAATGCAAACATATCACCAACTCTTTGCTTGTTGCTATTTGCCCAAGCTCTAACTGCATCAAATTCCCATTTACTTATAACTGATTCCCATATATGGGGATTATTCAAATTGATGGTTAATATAGTCTCATTTCTATGGGCTCGAACTAAAGTTATTTTCTCTATTGGTTCCATAGATCCTCGAAATCGATAGTTTTTGCTATCATCATTATAGTTATATCTAGATGTTCCTGATCTTATCGGTCTGCCCGGTCTATCGTCTTCTCCAGATGGTGGAACTGGTTCAAATCTAGGTCTTTTTCCTCTATCCTGGGTTTGATTTCGATTAGAAGGTCCTGGAGGAACTATTTCTCCTAAATCCATATTCATTTTTATCTCTTCATTTGATCGTTCAATTTTCTTCCAATCAAAATTTTCATCAAATCTATTTTGATAGGCTAATTCAAAATCATATTTTTCTTTCAACGATTGATAAGGAATATCTAAAGAAAAAACCATATCTTGTAAATTTAAATAGTTTTTATTTTAGAGAAATCAAGATAACTCATATTTATTATTCAGATCTTATTGAATCATCATAATCCGAATCTTGTTTGGTTTTTAATTGCTTATAATCCGAAAATCTTATACTTAGGGTACCATTGTGATTTTCGAAGGATGAATTTTCATGAGGGATCAAAATTGGTTTATCTAAAAATGAACTTAAATTCCATTCTAAACCAGCATATATTTCTGGACTAATTTTTTTACCAGAAATGACCTTAATTCCTTCGCTGGCTAACATGGTTTCTAAGTTTCATTATTTAGTTTAAATTTAACATTAGAATGTTCTTGCATTTTTCCTATAAATCCTGTAGTTATTCTTAGATTTTTTGATCCAACTGTCATATTATATCCTTTAGTTTTAATTCTTATTTTTATATTTTGAACACATTCTTTTATATCCATAATAAAATTTGGTATAAAATATATAATAGCTCCATTTTCGTTCATATCTATTTCAAAAGATCCTATAATAGATTTTGCTAATTCTGTCCATCGGTTGTCAAATAAGATGACTAATGATTTAGTTCCTAGATTTTTCCGATGTAATCCTTTAATACCAATTATTATTAATCCTAAATATATTTGCGTCATTTTCATAGTTTTTATTTTATCTCAATCTTCTTTAGTTATTATGAGTATAGATATTTGATCAGAATTAGAAATGCAACTAATCTTTTGTTCAGCTATGGTTTGAATAATATTTGATTTAGAAATTATTGAATTGTCATATAATTTTTTAGTTTTTATTAAATTTAATTTTCTATTATTAAATCTATCTAACTGTCCTTCTATATCTATTATCTCAGATAATTTTCTATCATAATTTATCGGATTCTTTTTGAATATTTGTAAGGTAGTTTGTTTATTCACCATTTTTTATAACTTATGCGAGGGATATAAAGAATAATTTTGTTTTGATTTTTAATACATTTTGTTAATTCATCTAAATCATTTTGTTTAAAAATCCTGTTAATTTATTTTCTATATCTAAAAGTTTGTCTTCTAAAAATTTTAACTTTTGATAAATATTTATTAATAAAATAGTTTGGAAATTTAATATTTTTGGATAAGTTTTGTCACTATTTTGGGCTCCTAAATAAGAAGTTAGTCCTATAACATATGTATGATAATTTTGGCAATCCTTTAGCGTTTCTAAATATATGTTGGAATTTTCTATATGATTCATGTTAATATGAGTTGTTTTAAATCAGTAAAGGTAGTTTTTAATTTTTTTAAACTAGTTTTTATTTCATTTAAATTGATCAAAATCATCTTTGATTTTTCGAACTAGACTTAGAGTAATTAAATGTTTCGTCGATTGATTTTCGACTTTATCATGATAATTATTAATTTTTGTAATAAATTCATCATTTTGTCTTTTAATATAATTTATTTTTTCATTAATTTCTTCCAAAGTTTTCTTTTTAATCATGATACTATTTGAAAATTTTTCAATAATTCTATATATCTTTTCTTGATGAATTTGAAACGATTTAGATAAACTTATTAATAAATCTATAATACTATTAGTAGAACTATCATTACTATGCAAACTATGCCTATATTTTGAATCGAAATAACAGCTAATTTTGTATTTATCAAAAATGACTAAATTTTTTTTTTATTTTGCGGTAATTCTAAATCGAGATATTGTATAATTTTTGGTTCCATGACTTTTCTAATACTCTGATACCAGTTGGAGTTTATCTAGATAATAAAGATAATAAAAATTTGTGCTAGTTCATAATTCATTTATATTCTTAAGGTATGGCTAGATAAATTTTTGTGCTATTTATGTTCCTAATGCTCACCATTCTTTTGGTGCAAATTGTATAATCTTTCTTACTATTCAAAAATTTATACATAACTAATGTCCTATTCATATCTATAAAATATTTAATTTGACTATTCAAAAATTTTGTATGAACTAATTCACTATTCCTATCAATATAATATACTTTAATTAAACGTGTCTCTTTATCATAATTAAGATCTAGTGGATAGATTTTTTCAAACCTATAATGAATACATTTATGACTACAAATTATTCTTTTTCTATATGAGATTGGGCAAATGCTTAATCTCATGATATGATTTAATTAAATGTTGAAAGTAATTTTTATAAATTATTTGAATGTAAGCTTCGTGCCTGATACTTTTTGTAAAAGATAGTTTTAATAATGATTGTTGAGAGAATGAAGGTTTAAGCAAATATGATAAAATTTTTAAAATCAGTGGAAAAAATAAGTTTTTGCAAAAAGTATTTTTGCACAAGTACTATATTCATAATTTATTGGGATGACTTTTTTTATTGTTTTTAAAAATAAAAATTTAGTACAAAAATTAAAAAAGTTGTCCCAAACGAAGCATCAACTGGAAATTACTTTTAATTGTTTCGAAATAGAGAAGGCTATAGTTAAGGACGAGGCCGGAGTACTTGTGTAAAAATGTTTTTTATAAAATTTCATTTTTCTATAATAAGAAAATTATCTCAAACTAAATCTTAAGAGTCATCACTCTTTTAAGAATGAGTTTCTATATGAGAGAGAGACTTACAATGAAGAACCACAATACATAGGGAGAGAGACTTACAATAGAGAAAGAGACTTAGTCTCTCTCTCTATATATTTTTTCTATTTTTAAGAGAATTTTTACTAAAAAAATAACTTTATAAAAGTTCTAACTTTGCGAAGAAATAAATTCATTTATTAATACTTTTATTTTGTAAAGTATTCTAATTATAATTTTATACATTCCATTACGATATATTCTGATCGTTGGCATTGTAACTGATATAATAAAATAATAATAATAATTCATGACGGGGCCAATTAAAATTTATGATGAAAATGATGCCACGTGGAATTATTCCCGCACAAAAGGAAATGAGGTTCGGACTCAAAGTACAATATTTAAAATCAAATAACCGGCCAAATAAAGTGGCATACAATATTAGTTTAATTTTAGTTTACATATTAATTTATATAAAATAAAAGTAAAAAATTAATTAAAGCATTTAAATATAAATTTAATTAAGATAAATTTTCATCCCAAAAAGTCTAATTATGGATTTAATTAAAAGATGTACACATAAACTTAAATAAAATAAAATAAAAATAAAATATATTTAACTTAGATATATAATTATTTTATAAATTAAGTTTATTTTTTTAAGTTTTTAATCAACGCGAATATACTCCGTGAGAATAAATTAGTGATACGGGTGAGCCAAATTTGAATTTCATTCTTAAAATAAAAGATATTTAAATTTAATTTTAATTCATATATTATTTTTAATAAAATTACGCCCTTA